TTACACGTGAACCATCATTGCCTAAAACAATCTGGTTAAGTTTAAATTAACCCCTCGACTTTTCTAACATACTCCTGCAATGCAATTTCATTTGAAAAGGATTAAAAATCCCAATTAATTTATTATGAATATGCTAGAACTGTTACAGTTTGAGGATTATTTCATATATTCTGATGTTTCTAACTGTTGTGTTAAATTTGTGGTGTTTGATTAGATGATTTTTTTTTTTATTTGAAAACAGAGGTCTTGCTATCCACCAAACAAGTTCAGTGGAAATGCAGGTTCTCTAGGGTACAAAGCAGGGCAGGGCACAGCAAAGTACGTGAGGGTGCCACAAGGCATACATAGCCTTAATTGCAGATATGCTCTGCGTCATTGCAGACAATAAAATCCCGTTGTTGGAATAGACTTAGATAAAGGCATAGGACACGTTCCCCTCAAAATTTGCATATGGCACAAAACTATAAGGAATAGAAAACATACCAGATGACAGAGTAAGAATAAAAAAGGATCTTGAAAGGCTAGAGCCTTGGGCTGAATCTAACTGTGTGGCAGGGATAAAAGATGGATGAAATATAAAGTCTTACACTTGCATATAAAAAAATTAGTTTTGCAATCAATTTTTACAGGTGGGACATGGTCATACAGAAATCGTTCTGAAAAAGATCTGAGGGTTTCAGTGGACTTCAAGCTCAATATCAGTGAGGAATGTGATATGGCAGATAAGAAAGCTAATTTGATATTGGGCTGCATTCTGAGGAGCTGAGCTTCTTATTGTAATCTGCTCTCATCAAATTTCATCTGAAATACTGCGTTCAGTTCTGGGCTCCATGGTTCAAGAATATTGAAAAACTGGAGAATGTTTAGAACAGGGCAACCAGGGTGGTAGACTGTAAGCTCCTTGAGGGCAGGGGCTATCTTCTGCCTCTTTTTGTAGCCCCAACCTTATCACACTGCCTGGCATGTAGTAGGTGCCTAATAAATGTTTATTGATTTATTGAAGGGCCTTGAGTTCACGTCACATGAAAAATGGTTTAAGGAAATTGGGACAGTCATCCTGGAGAAGAGAATTTGGGATACAGCCATGAAGCTGTTTTCAAGTATGTGAAAGGCTGTCATATAAAAGAGGAATTTGATTTGTTCTATATGGCCCTACAAAGCAGAACTTGAAGCTATAAGAAGATGCATGGAGGCCAACTTAGGCTAGATGTCAGGAAAAAAATATCCTAAAACTCTGTTGTTGTTATTCAGTCATGTTCAACTCTTCATGTCCCCTTTTTGGAGGTTTTCTTGGCAAAGATACATTTCCTTCTCCAGCTCATTTTACAGATGAGGAAACTGAGGCAGAGTAAAGTGACTTGCCCAGGGTCACATAGCTAGTAGGTATCTGAGGGCAGATTTGAACTCAGGTTGTCCTGACTCTAGGCCCGGTGCTCTAACCACTGTGTCGCCTAGCTGCCCCCAAATCAGAGCTGTCCAGAAGTAGAATGGGCTGCTTCAAGAAGGGGTGCATTCCCCTTTCACTGGAATTCTTCCCACAGAGAAGGGATGACCACCTGGGCGGTATGTTATAGGGAGGATTCCTTGCCTATAGGACTAGAGGACTGCTGACGTCTCTCATATTCTGTGATTCTGTGAATGCCCCTCCACACAATATGACTCTTAGACAATAGTCCTTAGTATTAATAATAGCTAGCATTAATATAGAAATATATTTGTGTGCGTTTTCTTTTGGAAGACAGCGAATACGGAAATGTTTTGCGTGACTTCACATGTATAATTGATATCACATTTCTGGCCTTCTCAACGGGTGGGGGAGGAATGGGAGGGAGGGATAGAATTCAGAACCTAAAATTAAAAGAATAATGTTAGAAATAAATAATTATTTTTTACAAAAGAAAGTAAGACCTAGCGATGATACAGCACTTTTAAGGTTTGCAAAGAGCTTCGCGACTATCTCATTTGATCTTCACAACACGGGGGAGTAGGTACTATTATCATCATCATCCCCATTTTACAGATGAAGAAACTGAAGCGAAGAGAAGGGGAAGTGCCTTGCCCAGGACCACACAGCTAGGAAGTGTCTGAGGCAGGATTTAAATACACATCTTCCTGATTCCAGACTCGGTGCTCTATCCGCTGCACCACGTAGCAGCCTCCCAATTCTGCACTTTTGAAAGCTGTTATTGACCTTGGAAACCGCTCTATAGGACAAAATTAGAAAATACATGTGGCACAATGGTGACATGCAGTGTAAGCTAGGTTAATCTCACGTGGGTCGATGACATGTAACTGAAGGGTATGCATGAGGTAGTTCTCATCTTGGTTTCCGCCCCCTCTCCTTAAAGAATTACAAATTATGCTTTTATTTTTTAATCAAAGCTGTCATTTCATTGGCTAATGAAACTCCCTGTGAGAAAACTCTATTCATTCTGAGAATGAACTTGGCAACTTACGATATTAGTGTTTCCTGGGGCACTGAGAGGTTAGGTGACAAACCAGTGCAAGGAGGCCTGTGTGAGTCAGAGGCAAGTCTTGGACTTGAGTCTCCTTAACTCGGGGGCCCCCAGGCCTAGTGTCACATGCTAGTTCGTTTTGTTTTTTTCTGTTGCTGTCATCATTGTTTGAATTGCAGTACAACAAATCATTTCTACCTGAACTTTTAGTGTGAACTGAAAATTATTGTCATAGGCTGAAGGGCAGAAGTAGCTGCATAAAGATTTTATACAAATGAAAGTTTAACTATTAGGTTTATTCTGTTATGTAGCATCGGGTTTCATCGTGACCTAAAATATGTCGATCCTTTGAAAACCACAAGAGGCTGCAACTGACAACAGAGAGGCGCAGGATGGGTAAAGGTGGACTTTAGGAACGGGTGTAAACAGCAGAGGTCAACCCCTCATTGGCTTTCATTGCCCCTCGCTATGAATAAATTGACAAATAATGAGCTCTAAATGATGTGAATCCAAAACAGCTCAGGGGTCAAGGCTATCAATGCCACAGAACCTAGAGGCCAAGTTCTCATATTTAACCTTTGGAGAACCTGAACCAGTGTTCTGCCCTGTCAACGAAAATCACTGGTTTAGTTCAGTAACTAAACAGTAGGAACAGGATCAGTGGGAAGCGTGCTGGATTTGGGGTTAGAGGCCCTGGGCTTGCATACTGATACATACACACACACACACACACACACACACACACACACAACACACACACGGAAGCAGTTTCCTCACAATGTAATATACAAATACATGTATACATACACACACATATACACATGAGTATATATACAAATCTGTATGTATACATATACACACATGTGCATATACATATATACTTGTGTACATACACATATGTGCACATGTTATATGCACTGTTTTGTATATATGTACACACATACACAGAGACGAAGGAGGGATTGTAGCTAAGGAGAGAGGTTAGGGCTACAGTCCCACATCCCCAACTACCTTTTGCATATCTCCAACTGGATGTCCCATTGATATCTCCAATTCAACATGTCCAAAACAGAACGCAGTGTCTATCCTCCTCAAAACTTTCCCTTCTTTCAAATTTTCCTGTTTTGGAAGGTACCATCCTCCTCCCAGTCACCTATCCCACAAACATGGTGCCACCTTCAGTTCTTCATTCTCCCTCATCACACACACACACACACACATCCTCTACGCGGCAAGCACCCTCACCATATCTCTCATTATAGGTCCCCTTTTTCATATCATACAACCCGCAATCCAAGTTCAAGTCCCCATCCACTCTCATTTGGACTACTGAAAACGGCCTCTTAGTTACTCTCCCGGCTCAAGCCTCTCCCTGCTCCAATTCATCCTCTACTCAGGTCCAAGGTGATTTTTTGAAAGTATAAGCCTAATTATGCATCACACACACACACACACACACACACACACACACACACACCCCTTCTCAATGACCTCCTTATCTCTAGGACCAAATATAAAGTACTTTGGCTTTAAGACATTTTTTAACCTGCCTCCTATATATGTTTCCAGCCTTAATTTTCTCCATGTACTGTATGTTCAGCAACACTGGCTTAGGTGCAGTTCCTCAGATACTTGACTCCATCTCTTAGCTCTGGGCTCAGAATTCTCCACCTGCCTCTTCCTCCAAGACTCAGCCCAACTCCCCCCCACTCCAGGAGGCTGCTCCCGGACCCCAGTTTTTCCAATCCCTTCCCCTCTCAGAATGCCTTTCATCTACTCCTTTACGTAGCCTGTACCTTCTTAAGTATTCACAAGTTGTCTCTCTCATTAGAATGGCAAAGCTAGGGACTGGTTGTCTTACCTTTCTTTGTAACCTCAACACTTAACACTGTACCTGACACATAGAAAATGCTTTAATAAATGCTTGTTGATTTGACTGTGTGACCTTGGACAAGTCACTTAACCTCTATAGCTCTCACTTCCTCCTCTGAAAAATGAAAGTGTTGTCCCTTCTACATATAGATCTACTCTATTCTAACAGTAGCCCACATTTAGAGAGCCCTATGGGCAGGGGTGGTCAGCTAGGTGCCTCAGTGGGCAGAGCACTGAGCTTAGAGTGAGGAGCTTAGAGTGACCCCTGGGTTCAAATACAGCCTCAGACACTTCCCAGCAAGCCACTGGGCTGGGAGTCAGGAAGACCTGAGTTGAAATCTGGCTTCAGACACTTACTGTATGACCCTGGGTAAATCACTTATCCCCATTTGCCTTAGTTTGCTCATCTGTAAAATAAGCTGGAGAAGGAAATGGCAAACTACTCTAATATCTCTGCCAAGAAAACCCAAATGAGGTCACAAAAAGTGGGACACTGTTGAAATAATGCCTGGACAACAAAAACAAAATACTTATTAAGGCAAGAAAGCAGTCATACATATTGGATTTTCACCAAGGCAATTTTCTAATGAACCCTGAGTTAGCTAGAAAACTAACTTCCTTATTCTGTAAGCATTCCAGTTACCTAAGATATTATCTTACTTTCCCCTACAGGCTTATACGGAGGAAATCATTTTTACAATATAACATATTACACAAAAGGCCGAAAAGATGTTAAGGATAGAGGATCTGATGAGGAGTCCAGAAGATCTACCTGGGTTCATGGCCTGGCTCTGGCATGAATGGGCTGTGTGACCCTGGGTAAGTCGCTTACCCTTTTGTCTGCTAGGCAACTTTGTAAAGCTAACCATTAGAGAGAAGGTGCATTATAATCTACATTATTTAGGGCCTATTCTGCCTTCTGGCTTGCCTCATGGATGCAAGAAATCCAAAAATATGAAAGAATAATAACTAACATTTCTATATCTCTTTCAGGTTTGCAAAGTACTTTATGAATAACTTGTTTGATCTTCACCCCGCAAAGCTGAGACAGATTAAGTGAATCGCCAAGAGTCATATGTCTACATCCATAGCACTCGCTCCAGTATATATCCATCAACCAAAATCCCTGGAGAATGTTAACCTTTCCAGACAGCAAACTGAATAAGAATCAAGATATAAAAAATTCCAGCCATGAACAAATTTTGACGCCTTTGCTCTTTGTATGAGCTCATGACCACCAGTGTTGGGCCAAGTTTCTCAGAAACCCAACCCAGGCCATGAAGAACCCAGGCTCCTATTTTTCTGGGGAAAAAAAGAAGGTCCAAAGTCAGCCATGGGGATGAGTCAGATTCTGTCCCTACTTCCTTTCTCCTTCCATTTCCCCTTCCACCAATTACCATGCTGAAAAAAAAAAAAAGAAAAAAAAAAGACCATGGACCTCGGAATCAAAAACACTAGATAACATCTTGCTTCCCCCCAAATCACCACCCTGGAGCCCCTGAAAAACCTAGGATTACTGGCCCACCACACCTCAGACATAAGACTTTTCTTGCACAAAAAGGGCAGCTAGAAAGCCAGGTGTGGAGCTGATCTGGACCGAAACCTGGAGCCCAGGGCATCCCTCTCACCTCCAGCCCAGTAAAGAGAATCCTCCAATTAGCCTCATTTGCCTTGTGTCTGGTGTCAATTTTCCCCCTCCAGAGTGTGGGTGCCACTTTAGCTTCTGTCATCAAAGTAAGAGTTAAAATGAGTTTGAAAAACTGGTCAGGCCTCAATTTTAAATTCCTAGAACTCACACAAATAGCCTTCTTGGAACTGCTGCAATGAGTTGCCCTAATTAACCCTGGTTGATTGAGGGAGTTTCCCTACACCCATGAAATCACAGGTCTGGGCCTAAAACAAAACAAACAAAAAACCCCTACCACTTATATACAAGCTATCACTGTTATTCTAGCTTCCCTAGTACAGGGTGTCAGTCATACAGGTTGACAAATGTTAAATAACTCAGGGGATATTCAGAAAGAATTTTTTTTAAACACAGAAGTATATATTATAAAGGAAAAAGTGTTGAGTCTAAGGAAAAGAAGGAGTAGCCTGAGGAAATGTTGGGGGATGCCAGTGATAAGACGAAAAGCAGTTGCTAAACTCCAGTTCAAATAAGTTGAGCCTGTAAAATTCCCAGAGTCCTTCCTGGGATGGAGGAGGGAAGCTAACCTCAATCATGCTGTGTCTCAAAGCTATGAAGGAGAAATTGTCTATATGTATAGACTATTCAATCCTTATTATACCTATTATCATATATTATGTGTATATATTAATTATATTATTACTATATATACTTTATTATATACTATATATTATTTCTATATTACATATGTAATTATTAATTATTATATATAATTATAAAGAAGTCAGACATCAGTAACTGTACCAGAGGTCAGATGTTCTATTTACCATTTCTAATGATTACTTTCCTTGGTCAGTTTTTGTTTCTGTCTTGTTTTGGTTTTTTGAGTAGTAAATGGTTAATACTATAGGAAGGGGAACCAAATAAAAAGCATGGCAAAATGACTTAAAATCAGACCACGACAGATGTAAAATAGGTAGTAGAAAATGCATCATACTCAGTGTCTGAGGACCTAGGTTCCAACCCCAGCTCTGCAAGTAATGAAAAGCTCTCTGAGGCTCAGTTTTCTCATCTATAAAATGAGGGATTTGGGCTTACATGATCACTAAGGTCTCTTCTAGTTATAATAATAGGTAATATATACAAAGGGCTTGCTATGTACCAGGCTCTGTGCTAAGTGCTTTACAGTTATTATATTATTTGATCCACCAACCCTGAAGAGGTAGGTGCTATTATTCTCCCCATTTCGAAGCTGAGGAAACTGAGACAAACAGAAGTTAAGTGACTCGACCAGGATCACACAGCTAGTAAGTGTCTAAGGCCACATTTGAACTCAGGTCTTCCTGACTCCAGGCCCAGCATTCCATCCACTGCACCAGCTGGCTGCCCAGCTGACGTCTAGACTTTCATAAAGAAGGGAAATGATAGGAAACATAGAAGACTTGTACTCCAAGTTCATAACATGTAAAGACAAGCTCCTTTCTTTTCCAAGCGGGCCTTCCTCTTCCCTGTATAGTCTTTTAGGCCAGACGTGTCAAACGCAAAGCCACATATGACCAACAACAGTTCCAGGTGTGTGGAAACAAGATTAAAATATAATTGGGAAATATTTGACAAAATAAATTAAAAGTATAATAAATATATTACCTTTTAAAACTAAGTCAACATGCATCCAGCATCCTTATTTATAGTTTAGTGACCCCCACTTCTATTTGAGTTGGACATCAATGAAAACCACATATTTATGTTATTTTTGTTCTATTGTATTTTTATCTATTTTGTAAAATATTTCCGAATTACATTTTAATCTGGTTCCCTCACAGCATTCAGTGTTTGACACCTTTGCCCTAGACTTACAGTACTACCAAAGGAATTATATTGATTTGTAGCATTTTATAATTGATCCTATTTACTGTTCATTGATTTTGTCCAGCAACTGCCTAAGAAGTCATGATTCCTTGTCTCTGAATTCATCTGGCCTGTAATGAGTTAAGTTTAGAAATCCAGTTCTCCTACTAATCACTGCTCTATTCTTGCCTCACAGAAATCTGCTATGCTTACGGGGTACATGTGGACACTAGGGAGCCTGGTCCACCATCTCTAACCTTGCAGGTGGACTCAAACAATTAACATTTCTTAGTCACAGCAGTTCAGTTTCCCCTCTGAGTTAGTTAAAAGGAAACTTGTTATCCCTCATACTTTCAGTGCCTGGAAAATTCCATGACCTATGTTTGCTTTCTTTGAAGGCCTACAAGCTGACCTGGTACATTTCCACAAGATGTACTGTTCATCCTTGCCTGTCCTTGTTCACATAAGGAGGGTCTTATCTCCCTAACTAACTCTTCTAGGTGCCAGGGAGTCTGCTAACTCTGGTCTACTAACAAGGTCTGCAAGATGCTGATGGGTCCCATAAAACAATGAACATTCCTTAATTGTCAGAGAGAGGGGGATCAGTAGCCTCACCTGGGTGTGCTTGCCCACTTTTTTTAAATAACCAATCATGCTGTCCCCACCCCCACAATGCTATCTACTCTGTAACCAATTGAATTGCCTTCCCCACCTAGCCAATTCTATACTCCCCAAAACTATATTAAGACTGGTGAAGCCTACCTCAAGGTCTTTGGTCATTGAGAGAGGTTGTTGACCCAATTTATTGGTTACTGCTAGCCTAACTGATAAATTGATCATGTTCAGACCACTGTCTCTCAGTTTACCTTAATTTTCTAAAGTAACACAACTTTAAGGTTCACCTCTACAGACACATATGGAAATCAGGCTAGATAGTCAATCAATTCCCCCACCTTGCACAGTTTCCAACTATACTGGCAAAGAGTAAGGTCCAGATTTTGTTCCCTGATATCACGGTTCTACCCTACTGCTCTGTGGTGCTAGATCCTGCTTGGTCTAGGAAATCACACTTGTCCAGAAGCTCCTTTGGTGGGTCCAGGAGCTCCTCAGCTCTCTTAACTAATGTTACGAGAGATCCACACCAGGCCTAGGAACTCTTCCTGCTACCAGCTCTGAGGCCAGGTGTTTCCCTCCTCTCCTGCAGCCTTGTGGCTCCTTGCTGTACCTGGTTTCCCAGGGAAGTCACGTGTTAAAGGTCCAGGGTTTCGACATTTCCAGTGACAAGGATTACTTTTTCCCTACAAGTCAACAAATTTGTCCCCTAGACCTAATTGGTCCCTGCTTCCCTAGCTTCAGCTTCCTGTTCTCCTAAGGGTATAAAAAGTCCCAGCAATATGGAGTCAAGTCCCCTCTAACTTAGTGAACTTCTGAAGACTGAACAACTCATCATACCTTGCTTGCCCTGATTCCCAGATGTGAGAAGTGGGGGGATCTAAGTGCCACTGTATCATTCTTGCATATCCTCGCTGTGTTAGGGCAAAGTAAACCTCCATTTGTTAACTGTTCAATGATTTCAAGTTTCTCATTTTGTCTTGAGTCAGAATTAACAGGGAGCTGGTACTAGGCCAATGGCCACACAGGCTTTCCTCTGGGACGCTAGACTCAATGTGTGTCCAACCAGTGTTCCTCTATCATCTCTTTCATTCTGTCTAGCTCCCCCTGCTAATGGCATAACTGAAATATAGAGCCCCAAAATGGCTGAACTCAACCTAACATCCTTAATGTAGGCCAGTGAGGACAAGATATAGGGCAAGTTTATATCTTATCAAGCAGATAGTAAGGCCAGAAAAATGCCTCATCCTGTTAACAAGGGGTTAACCTTGCCAAGGAACTCTACCTACTGGTTACTGAGACCCAAGGATGGATTACCCAGCACCTCCTGGGCATATCCTCTATAATAAACCAATTTCTCCAGCACAAAAGGGTTAATGGCTATTCAAAATACATGATTTGCTGGCGAAGCAAACAGGGTAATTAGAAAGTCAGCTTGAGGGTAGCATTACAGAAAACGGATCCTGCTAACCGTACAAAAGATGAACCCACAGGCCAGCAAGGGCTGTGTTGTATCCTTTGGCATCATCATTTCATCCACTTACCCATTCACCAGCCATCTGTTAAACACCAGCTCTGTGCAAAGGTCTGTGCTAGGCAGTGGAGGAGATAGAGGGATAGGGCCTAGATATGCGATTTCATTGATACACGGAACTCCCTAAAGAGGAAATTCTCTCCACCAATGTAGATCAGCACCTTACGACCGTCATAGAAGGCTGCCTAAAGCAGGGGTCAGTGGCGAGCTAACAAAGTTGGTTTTTTTTTAACTTTTTAAAGTAAAGTTGCATTATATTTGAAAATTTTAAAAAAGTCTTAGCTTTCCAAGGGCAAGATTTGGCCCTAGGGCTATAGTTTGTTGACCCCTGGCCTGAGAGGTTGTGACTTGCAATGGTCACAAAGCCAGTATATATCAGAGGCAGCAATAATATTAGCTAATATTTATATAGCACATATTAAGTGCCAATCACTGCATTATGTGCTTTCCAATTCTTAATCTCATTTGATCCAAATTCAGGGAACTCCTTAACATTCCTTAATAATCCGTACAGCGATCTTGGGGGGTAGGTGTTGTTATCCTCATTTTACAGATGAAGAAACTGGGGCAAACAGGTAAGGGACTTGCCTGAGGTCACACAGCTAGTAAGTGTCCTCAAGTCAAATTTGAACTCAGGTCTTCCTGACTGTAGGCCCAGCACTCTATCCACTGTGTCACCGAGCCACCCAGGTTTTCCTCCCTATCCTCTATGTGTCGGATATCCACTATGTTGTGGACAAGTATATATATTCATGCACATATGTATATACATATGTGTTTTGTGCAAGTGTATATAACCCAGGGCAGCTAAGTTGTGCAGCAGATAGAGTACAGGGTCCGGAGTCAGGAAGACTCATCTTCCTAAGTTCAAATTTGGCCTGAGACACTTACTAGCTGTGTGACCCTGAGTAAATCACTTAACCCATTTGCCTCATTTTCCTCATTTTTAAAATGAGGTAGAGAAAGAAATGATAAACCACTCTAGTATTTCTGAGATGGGGTCAGGAAGAGTTGGCCACAATGGAAGCAAATGAACAACAACAAAAATATATCTATGTACATATGACAGAAGGTATAATGTGATGATATTATAATATATCAAATTATTTAAGCTATATAAAATTGCTTTGCAAACTTGAAAGTACTATATAAATGCTGGCTAATATTGTTATGCCTGGCTGCTAGGGGAAATAAAGATTACTAAATCCTTTCTTTCATGTAGTTTATAATGTAATAATTATTTTGGTAAAAACTGAAACATTATAATATTCAGGTTATGCTATATGTATGTTTTTACAATATCCTACTTACCACATATATATGATGAAATCTATAACTTTCTCCTTCCTTCCTGAGATGTGCTTTTTAAGGCATCCACCATAGTATCTTAAGATACCAAGATGCTGAAATTAAGTCACTAAGTAAGAACTGAGACAAAAACAACAAAGTTTCCTTTGCCAACAGGCAAATTTCAGAATCTGTCAGCAAATAGTCTATACCCTAAAGCAGTCTGTTCCTATTAGCAACTCAGAGGTCTTTCTATAGCTTCTGCCAGACTCCCAAAGTCCCTTATCATCTCTAGCTCCACTCTGTTTCCAACCTTCATTTCTACTACTTTGCTCACATATACTCTTTGCTTCAGCTTTGCCACTCTTTACAATTCTACGAATATGCCATGAGCCCAGTCATAGCCGTCCTTTATTGGAGGGCCTCCCTTTTCTATTAATCCAGATTCTAGTCATCTACCATCTTAGTGTCTAGCTCTGGCTTCCAGGCCAGCTATCAAAAGATACAAATATGCACATATACACATATGTGTGTGTCTGTATTTGTATATATGTATATGTTTATACATATATATACACATGCATATGCATATGTGTGTGTGTTATGTATGTATAAAAGTGTCCTTGCCCTCAAAAAGCTTAAAATCCACTTCAGGAAACAAGACACAGTGTCAAATAATATTAAACGAATCAGTATATGATTGAATGCCAGCTGATTTTCTTCATTGTAAATTGGTGATAATACCTGCAGTGCCTACCTCACGACAGATGTGGGAATCAGATGGGCTTTGTGTAAGGCATTTTGCAAACTTTTGTAAAAACCTGCTATTATGACTAGTGAGTAGGCCCAACTAAGGTTACTTCTATAGGCCTTAGTCACTTCTGATTTATGGGTTCTTTGGTGAATGCATAATGTTTTTTTCAGATAAAAGAATTTATCACCCTAAATATCAGTCATATGGTCAAAAATGCATTTTAATTTTTATAGGCCCTAAGCACAGTGACTGGCTGTGGTGGCGGACATCTGATTACGGGCTCTCCCATATACAGCTCAACTCTCAGAAATCCACTGTCACTGATACCCTACATACTGTAGGGCACACCCGTCTCACGTAATCAGCCAGCCCCTAGAGTATCTCCTCAAACAAAGCCCTCCCAGAAATCACCTCAGTCATACAGAAGAAGGATTATATTTGTTCTTTTCAGATCCCACAGGGCAGAAGTGGGAACAATGGGTAGACTTTGCAGAGAGACAGATTTAGGCTCCCGGTAAGAAAAGGCTTACTGACAATCAGAGTTACCCCATAGTGGACTGAGCTGTAAAAGGAGAAGTTGAATTCCCCTTCAGTGGAAATTCTCAAGTAGAAGTTGGGTGTCAAGAATTCTGCAGAGAAGATTCCTGCTTACATTAAATGCTCTCCCATATGTGAAATTCTATAGTTCTACGATGGCTTGATAGAAAGGATTAATTTATGGAAACTAATAATGTTACAGTGAAAAATAATATTAAAAATGAAACAGTTTAAGTGGTTACCTTGGCTAAATATTTTAAAACCTCAGCCCCACTGCTAATCATATTATAAGCCATCTGATTAACTGGGTAATTCACACCTCTCAAAGCCTCAGTTCACTCACACAAAAAAGTAAGGGGTTGGATTCAATCAAAATTTCTTAAGCTAAGGCTCCCAGATTGATTTCAAGGGGTTCATGGCCTTGAATGAGAAAAAAAAAAACATTCATCCTTATTTCAATATAATTAGTTTTGTTTGTAATTTTATGTATTTTTACTCTCTGCATTTGAAAATATTGTTCTAAGAAAGGGTCAGTAGGCTTCATGAGACTGCCAAAGACAGTCTGTGACACATCAAAAAAGTTAAGAACCCCTGGATTTCATTCCTAACATTCCATGATCCTAAGAAGATAGTGCTAAGTGAACTGCAGGCCAGTCAACAGTTGTTGATCAATTGGGCAAATCATTTAACCTCTCTAGGCCTCAGTTTCCACACCTGTAGTAGTTGGGTCCCTTTCAAATCTAGCATTCTATGACTATGATTCATAATCATAAATAATACCTAATTAGCCTCTGCATTTTAAAAAAGAGTGTTCTTTACATTTTGATGGGGGGAGGGGCTACTGATACTTGAATGTAAAGGTTTTTTTTATTCCCCACCCCCACCCCCAGCCTAGAATTAGAGTGATATTAACGTAACGTTTTACTTCTTTCCTTGATAAGTGTCCCTTTACAGGAGGGAAATCAGGGTACTTCCTATTTCTGTTTATTCCTGAGGGTAGTGGCTTTTCTTCAGTAGCTATAAAAGCAAAATTTGCTCTCAAATCCCGTAGAGAAAAAAAAGGGGGGGGCAAATAGTGTGACAGCATCACCAATTGTGTCTGCCAATGCCAAGGCATAGGAGACATCAGAAGAGTTCAAATTTCTGGAAACTGTGACTTACAAAAAGGTGAATTTTTAATAACATTAGACAGAAGCAAAACAAGAGAGATCACTCTGGTCCCCTTCCCTCCTACAGCTAATGAAGAATGATTTCCTCTTCTATTTTGTCACTCTTCATGTAGCTTAGATTTCAATAATAAGGAATTGAAAGGACTTCAAACCAAGCAAGAAACATTTTTCTTACACAGACTTAATTTTTTTAAAATGCCTACAGCTCGGTGGCATATTATGTTAAAGTTGATGCTGGCTTGTGTCTTCTTGTCTACTGATTTTTTTTTCCCCAAAGGGGTTAGAAGATGCAAAATTATTTTCACCACTGGCCTGTTGTGTCTCTTCTATTCCTTCCAGGAAAAATGATCCCTCTTTGCAAATCACCTTATGATACTTCTACTGGAGCAGAAAAGGCAAGTATTAAGTGACAAACAAATGGCAGTTTTGCTTCTTTTACCTCTCTGAAACCTGGGGAGCCAATAACACAAAACCACCCATTAATTTTTCTTCCTAAAAACACTCAGAGCTCCCAAATGTCCAACGGTACTCTAATCCCCATCACAAACAAGCCACGGCGAATAGGGGATGGATGACAAAAAGGGGCTTTTCTCCACCTATTCAGTCATAATGCCTAGACTTTGCAGAGACAAATTTAGGCTCCAGGTAAGAAAAGGCTTACTAAAAGTCAGTCACCCCACGGTGGACTGAGCTGTATAAGGAGATGGTGAATTCCTCTTCAGTGGAAATTTTCAAGTAAAAGTTGTTGAGAATTCTGCAGAGAAAATTCCTACTTAGATTAAATAAATATGTGAAATTCTATGTTTCTACTATGAGTATATAGAAAGTTCTAATTTATAGAAACTAATGATAAGCATACAAAGTGAGTATACTCTGAATATGGACTAGAGCTATATAAGTCATCAATAAATCACAGAGAAAATGAAATATCCGCGAGACCAAGCCACACAACCATCACAGTCAAGCAACATGTTGGGAAGTCAACCTCTCCCAACCAAGGACATGAAAGTGCGTAAGATCACAGATCTGGAGGTGAAAGCGACCTTGGAGGTCGATCACCACCACCCCCTACTCATTTTACAGATGAGCAAAGTAAAGTCCAGCGCGGTAAAGCATCTTGTGCAAGGTCCCACAGGGCGGGAGTGGCGGGGGTTGGATTCGAACGCCCCTTTCGGGATCCTGTGCGCTTTCTTCTGCCCTTGGAGCCCTAGAACAGCGCACGGTTAAGGAGAAGAGAGAGGAAACTGACCACAGAGGAAACTGACCACAGCCCCGGCGCAGTCTAGTGAAGAGGCTCCACCAAGGCCCGCGGGACCCCAGGGGAAAGTGCGGTGGGGAATCCCCGCCCCCAGGCACCAGGTGCAGCCCAGAAAGATGCAGTCCCAACCTCGCTCCTGGCCGCGGCTACCTCTGGCTCCGGGCAGCTGGGGGCTGAGAATGCCCTGGTCTGGGGGCTCCTAGCAAATACGGTCCGAGGTCCTTCTCCCGCTCCGACCATTCCCGGGAGCTTTGCAGTCTCAGCTGCCCAGGGGAGGGGCATCCCGCCGGGCGCCACTGGGCACATGCTCCGCCCTGGAGGGGGTGCGGCCGGGGACAGAGTCCGGAGTCCGCCCAGGCGTGGGCTCCTTGGAGCGGCGTCCCCTGGGACCTGCTGGGCTCCCTCCCCAGCACTTCCTCTTCTCCCGGAGACCTTGTGTATTCTGGACTCCCCCACTTCTGCATCTCAACTTCTAACTCCGACCACCCATACGGATGTCCGTGCGCTTGGGTTTCTATCGCCTACCCACCCTCCTTTAAGAATACAAATACACATCCAAACATAAGGAAATTTATTGTGCTTAATTCAAACTTCCCCACAGAATTTATCACAGAATTTGAGAGCAGGAAGGGCTGGTACAATTCACAGAATCCAGGAATCCAGACCCTTCTTTTTGTTTTGTTTTGTTTTTTTCTTTTTCAGAGAAAGGAACAGAAGCCCATTTCAAGGTCAGGCAAGGTTGGAGGCACAATCAAAATGATCGTTCCATTTACACGTGTAAAAAGTTGTTTGCAATGCCATTACATAAAAACATACATTTGGATACCAATAATATGAGTACAAGTTGATTTTCTAAAAAAGTTTTAAGGTAGTTATATATTCCTCTTCTATCAATATGATTTATGATTAACAATCACAATTATTATCAAATAGTTGTGCTGATTATAGAAAGATAAATCATGTTCTTCAGCAAGCACGTGATATTCCAAAGGAACATGACAAGGCAGATCTTTTATTCTAACATATTTGTCCATATTTTCATTTTTTTAAAAAAAAAAAAAGAAAGAAAACTGTCTTATAAACTTAGATTTCCTTTTCTATGCTTTGATCTAGCTTTTTATCTTAGCTTTTGGGGACAATCCTGCTCCTTCCTGTCTTGGAATGTAATCTGTGGGATGGAAACCACAAGAACTCAGCTTCCCCTGTGTTTGACAGGTAAACACAGGAAGATAGGACACAGACTTCAAGAATTCCTCAGTTTGTGAGATGTCAGTCACAGTAGTTGTGATACTTTGGCCTGAGCTCACATTTTTTCTCTGAAGAGCATGACTTTCTTTGTGTGTGCTGCCAGACACTAAGTATCTGAAAGAGAAAAAGATTATGGTGCCTAAATTTATTTTATTTCCTCATTCTTCAAATATAGGGCAACAGTTTATTTAAATAAATTTAAATATTTTAAAATTTAAACTATTAATATGTTAAATATATAACAAGACATAATGCATTAATTAATATATAATTATACAACATATAATGAATATAGATAATAATGTATTAATGATATAATAAATATATTAAGTTTTAAATGTTAAACAAATTTAAATAAACAGTTAATTTATTTAAATAAATGGGGAAGAAGGCAGTTTAAGGAAGACTAATCAGAATAATGAAAGCCTGAATTTGCTTTTAAAAATTATTTTATTTTTAATTTATGGAATAAAACAAGTATTTCCATAATAGTATAATAAAAAAAGACAATTGCACATGAAACTGCAAATCTATTATGTGCAGCTTGCTATTCCTTTCAAACATAAAATAATGCCAATATTTTAAAATACATTTGTTTGTTTTACTATTAGGTAGATACAGAAATGACAACTACTCCCAACAAAATGCTTTCAAAGAAAGCTCCAGCGTCAGGTCCCTTCCAGCTCTATGATGCCTATTTTCTCTGATCTCTGGAGATCGTGCTAACTCCAGCTTCTTCCACCTAATATTGTATTTTAAACTTTTAAACATGTGTTATCATGAATTGAATTACTTTCTAACAAAATAGATTGAAGAATACATTCCCAGGTGGAAATGTATTTCCTGGCCCATAAATCAAACAGGTTCAGGCTCTGGCTTCTTACACCTTGGTCTGTATTTTCCACAGGTCCTCATCTGCCTTCGGGTCTACTATCCAGTTCTTCCTCTTCCTCCAGAAAATGTCTTTTAGCTCAAGTCCCTTACCATAAATCATTCTCTTTTGCCTTTACCAGAATTTCCCTCTCCAGATTCTGGCCTTCTTCACAATTCCCACACCCTCCAAATCTCTAATTATCTCCTGTTTGAGCCTGAGTCTTTCTCTTCCTTCATGTAACCAAGACTCTTCAAACAAAGGCAAGGTGACCATTTGTCAGGTATATTTGGACCTAATTGAAAGGCTTTTTGTTCTGCTATAGACAGATTGGACCAAATGACCTCTGAAGTCCCTTCCTTTTCTAAGATTCTATGATATTCTTGGAGTCTGGAAATATCTTTGAAAAACAAACAAACAAACAAAACCACTAGACCTAATATGGACTCCTGATGTGGCCCTAGGTAAACGTGTTACATGTGTGTAGTTTTCGTATTTTCTCTCTGATGCTCTAGGGACAGGAATGAAGAATACCCATTAAGATCTATCGATGGGGATATACATGTGATTAAATCAAATAATGCCATCAAAATACTATTTATATACTACTAAAAAAATTATGTATGGGGGACATAAAGACACATCACATCTCTTAGCTTAGTAACTATTGAAAAACAGTAGAGTTATAGAAACAGAGAGCAGATGAAGTGAGTTGCAATCAATCAATCAATAAGCATTTATTTAGCCCTGATTCTGTGTCTAGCACTGTGCTAAAAATAAGGCACAAAAATTTAAAGCTTTTTCAAAGCAGGAGAAACACTCTCAAGGAACTTACATTCTAGGCTAACATAGTGGCTTCCCAGGAACTACTAGGCTGAGGCCACTGGACTTGACAAACTTCTCCAATCCGTATCCTTTACCTCTCCTGGGTTTGTTGTTCTGGGATTACCAGCTTCCTCAATAGGGAAACTGGGCCCTCAGTACTTTAGTATCATCCTGTCTCATATTCCTGATAAACAACTCTATTTGGGGCTCTAATGGAAGGGGTCCTCCCCGGGGAAACTGGGAGGGGGGATGGAGGAGGGAGAAAGGGCAGAGTTTTACCTGGAATAAAAATTTGAAGCAAGTTGGGGATGGGCAATGCTATTCACAAAGAGGATGCTAAGCAATATAATAATAGCTAATGCTTATATAGCACCTATGGCGCAGTGGATAGAGCGCCAGTCCTAGAGCCAGGAGGAGCTGAATTCAAAGGCAGCCTCAGACTACCTATGTGATCCTGGGCGAGTCACTTAACCCTATGACCCTGTCTGCCTCAGTTTCTCATTTGTAAAATGAGCTGGAGAAGGAAATGGCAAATCACTCCAGGATCTTTGCCAAGAAAACCCCAAAAGAGGTCAGAAAGAGTCAGACATGATGGAAACAACACAACAGCAAAAACATAGCACTTACTCTGTGCCAGGCACTGTGTTAAGTGCTTTATAATTATTATCTCATTTGATCCTAACAACAACCCTGGGAGAGGTAGGTGCTATTATTCTCCTATTTTACAGATGAGAAAACTGAGGCAAACAGAGGTTAAGTGACTTGCCCAGGGTTGAACAACTAGTAAGTCTCTAAAGCAGGATTTGAACTCAGGTCTTGCTGACTCCAGATCCAGGGATCTACCCACTGTACCACCTAGCTTCATGAAAAAGAGGCTAATATTCAAACTTTTTTTTTTGGTCATTTGCAAACAGATCCTTTATGAGAATTGTTTATTATCTATTTTACAATTCACCTCCACTGAGTACTGGCAAATCAACACCCAACAGCTTTGTCTTTTAATTATTCCTCTCTCTGGAGGTGATTCTTTCCTTCCCAAACATTTGGTCACTATCTGCTACTGCAACTGCACCAGCAACCAGAAATCTGCTGCTAGGTGCCCGGGCATGCCAGTTGTTTTTTGAAGTTCCACAAGACCTTGTGCCAAAGGAAAAAAGACATAACCTGAAGAGGCCCCATCCCAGACACAGACTTGCCCAGGAACCCATGAGTTCATGATCTTCTGCCCAGTGAAGGGGCACGGACACCCTCTCTACCACCCTGAGACAGTGATCCTTCCCCATCATCGCCGGCAGGAAGCAGAGGCCTAAAGAGTGGGGATTGTTACTTTGACAGAGCCATAGTTTCAGTTCACCTACCAGTCCTCCAAGGCAAGCAGGAAGCAGGCAGAGGATGACTGGGCATCCTTTGAATTAGGAGGGGGTAATGATAAACCAGTAAATCAGTGCCTTGGCGTGCAGAGGTTTAAAAATTAGTATTTAAGGAGAACGAAGGCCCGGGACCATCACTAGTGGATTCAAGAATAATCATGAGTCTACTGCCTTCATACAGAATTGATTTTATCCTCAAAGAAAAAAAGAAATTATCCAAACAATCCTTTGCCACACAAACAGCTATTGTGTAGTTAACCCAGGGAGTCTTCTATCAAGTAGGTTGTATGCTAACCAGGTAGGAAAGTAGGAGTCATTGTGCTGTGTCTGTCTTACCCCACAGGCAACTTGGTACCTGCCGCAGAGAAGAGACAAGTCAGTTCACAAAAAGTCAAGTGTATAGTAATTTACTGCATTTTTAACATTTATTTATTACATAGTAATTTCGGATACAGCTTCACTTTTGCAAAGGTGTTCAATCTGAAACCGCACCATCCCTCTGGTCCAGAGGTCCATGACCTTTTTGTGTGTCATAGATCCCTTCGGCAGTCTGGTTAAGCCTTATAGGTCTCCGCACAGAAAAATGCATCATGTGAAATACATAAATTACAAAAGAAATCAATTATATTGAAGTACAATTGTCAAAAAAAAATGTAAGTTTAGACTCTAAAATTAAGAACTCTTAATGAGAGGCATAGCTGAGCATTCCAGATCTAACAGGATCCAACAGAGCCACTTTACAAAAGTCACTCCAATCATGTGGCCACGAGGAAAGAAAATATAATACATGTTAATACATAGACATGTCAGCATCACTAAATCACAGGGCCATAGATTTAGAGAGGGAAGAGACCTTAGAGGCCATCTAGTACAACTCCCTCATTTTACAGATCAGGAAACAGAGAGGCTAAGTAACCACTGCCCAAAGCGGCCCAGGGAAATAAATGATAG